TGGATATAGCCAGAGTTCTTCTGGGGACAAGCTGAGCTCATCAGGTCTCCTGCTGCTCTGGAGTCCCCTCTGGCCAGAGTACCCACAAAGCCCACCCACTTTCCAGAAAGAGCAGGATCCAGGGGGTTTTCTAAACCAGTCAGCAAGCACCAGCATCCCCCAGAAGTTTGGGTAAGCAGAGGCCTGGGCTGCCCAGAGGTTCCCAGTGAGAGTCTGGGGGCCCAAGAATATACATCTTTACCTATGTCCCCCTGGGATGTGGAGCTGGTCCAACCCATGGCACATGTGACCCATGGCTCACGTGGTCTTTGGTGCAGAAAGATGGGGAACAAACACATCTGAGCACCATCCATGTGCCTGGCATTTAGTACCTTGGTCAACAGCACCCCAAGTAGAAGGCAGATGAGGGGCCTGGTGGGCTCATCTTTCCACTCCCATGTTCAGGATTTGGCTGTGTGGGAGGACTGAGAGTGAGCCTGCCTCTGCACTCTGATTGGCAGGAGAGCAGTGCCCTCATGCTCAGAGTGCCTGGGGCCATGGCCAGCCTCTGCAAAATTTGCATCATCCCTGTTTTGATTAGGGAACACAGCAGAACATCTTTTTGTTTTATCCCTTGGGTTAAAAACAACTTTGCTTTGAGGGTCTCCTGGATTGCAACCTTCTTTCCCTTTGAAGGTTCAACTTTGCCCTTGACCCTGGCATTGTTTTCCAGAGCCCGGATTGCTCAATTTTCCGGCAGCTGGTGAGTAAGCAGCCTGCTGCGTGAAGGCAGAATTGGGAACACTGGCTGACGGAATGCCCCGTGCTGTTTCATCACCCGGGCCTGGGCCTGCGGCCTGTGCAACTGAGAGCAGCCTTGGGGCACCTTACTCAGGGCTGACTCACGCCAGTCACTGCACTGTCCCCATGTTGCAGGCAAGAAAGTGAGACCCAGGGAGGTTACCCACATGCCAGGACGTGGAAACCCCAGGTGCCAGAACGGCAGCCCCACTGGGGATCTGGTGGCTGAATGATGACCTGCGGAGGCAGCCCAGCCACTTCCCTCACAGGCACTTCAGGTCCTGCCCCTGAAGGCAGATGTGTGATGAAGTGTCACCGCACAACTGCCCTGGCCACATCTGCCTCTGGGGTGGCCCAGCTGGCGGGTCGGGATGGATTGCATGCCCCTCACTCTGCTCCTCCTCGGCAGGCAGAGAGGCCTCAGCAGTAGGCCTCTTCCGGGCCCCTGGGACTCCAAAGTGTGATGCTCTTTCTTGCCTAGTTGATAAAACACCGAGTCCATTTGGCACTGAACATTTCCCATATAGACCCCAAAATACCTCTCAGCCCTGACCCCAAAATACACACCCAAGTACCCCTAAGCTTGCACACATTTTTGGGCTCCAACACCGCTGCCCGCATGCTCTGCTTTGGTGGTGACAAGCTCTGCCCCCTGAGACCCCAGGGCTGATTCCCTGGCAGCTCTGGCCGGCACAGCTTGGCATAAGGTACATATGGCACGTGTTTAGGAAACCCTGGCAATCATCATTGGCCAGGTGGGCAGGGGGCCTGTTGATGTGCAGTGCATGACTTGGGACTCTGATCCAGTGTGCCCCATGCTTTGGAAACACAGAGGGGGCACCTGAGCCCACTTGGGAGCCGCTGGGAAGGCTCCCAGAGGAAGGGACATTCAGTGGGTTCCAAAGGATGGAAAGAAGCAGAAGGGAGGTCTGGATACCTGGATGACAGGATCAACACCAAGAAGATATAGCAGAGCCTCAGAAGGGTCACTTAGGAATGCTGACATAACACTGCATGGCTTCCCGAGGACACTCATGGGCATGGTTGTGGAGGTGCCTCCAGAGCCCGCCCATGGACCTCATCTCACATGCTCCGGCCTGTCTCCACACCAGCTGTTTCGGATTCTCCCACTCATGCTGTGATGGTTCTGACCACACGGGACCACCCCAGTGTGGCATCCCCCTACCATGGCACCCCAGACCTTGGGCATCTCCCACACACCTGAACTGGCTGTCCTTCCCTTTCCCATGGATGTTATCACAAAACAGACTGCCTTTATGAAACTGTTTGTTGATTGCTTCTCTTCCTCCTTATCTTTAAGAGCAGGGCTACATTTTGAGTCTGGCTGACTGTTGGCTCTGTCCAGGTGTCTAGCTGGTGGTCAGGGCCTGGCCTGAAGGGACACTAAGGAGGGTCTCAGGATGGGTCTGCAGTAGCATCCATCTTTCCAGGCCTCCCTGTGACACTGCACTCTCAGCCCTGCCTAAACCCCACAGTGCGGTGCTGCCCCAACTGCTGGGCCTTTGCCCCCTGCTCCACCTGCTGGGGTATCCCAGCTCTTCCCTGAACACACCACCCTCTTCCCAGTTCCCTAGTCTCGGCACTGCAACCCCTCTCTCTGCCGCTTGGGGAAGCCCTGCTTTTCCTCCGAAACCTGCCTTGGCTCCCGTGCCTGGGAAGCACCCGGGTGGCTCGGTGCCCTTTCTCTTGTCATTCATCACCACGAAGCAATGCTCCACTGACCCACTTACCAGGAGAATTAGCCCTGGCAGAGCATGCCTCGGGCTAACTCTGTGCCTCAGCAGCTTGGGGCACCCTCTCTGCACACCTAGCTCTGTGCCTGCAGGAGCAGGGGAAGACGACTGCCAGGGCATATGGGCCATGCTGGAGGAGAAACTGAGCTGCACACAGCACCAGGCTGGAGAAAGGACCTTCAGTCTGGGTGGCTGTGGCAGAAGGGCGTCAGGATGGAGCCCCAGAAGAACGAGCTTATGAGGAGGATGGAGGGTGATGGAAGAGAGACATGGGTAACAGGTGATGGAAACTAGAACATGGAGAACAGTAAAAAGAGACCAGAGAGGTAACAGTGACTGTTTTCTGCAGTAGGAAGGGGACATGAAGGCTGTACCATAAGCAGGATCCACAGAGCTGGGGTTAGGGATGTAGGTGAGGCTCTGGGGCACAACCCATGAGGAGGGGCTCCTTAGCCCACCATGCACCTCAGTGTCCCCAGAGAGCGATGCTCACCTTAGCAGGGGCTGGGATTCAGCAGGGCACCCAGAATGACCACCAGAGCAGCCACCTTTCAGGTCTCGGCCTCCAGGGGGAGGGCCGCTCACCCCAGGACACACACATAGTCCTCCTGGAGGGGAGGTCCCCTCTGTCTGTGTTGCTGGCGCCGCAGAAGGGGGAGCTTTCTCCCCCATGTGATGGCTGTTTTGCTGCTGCTATGAGGCAAACGATGGAAACATTTGGGAAATCGATGTACACAAAGAGGAACTTTCACTACGTGCAGGACCTCAGGAAGTGGGAGGGAATTGCTGGGCAAGTGCAGGAAGGGGTGAACAGTCCAGAGCCTGCAGGCTGCCCAAGACACACCTGGTGGCCCCAGATAGTTACCAGGGGCTCTCTCATGTGTGTGCCGTGAAGAAAACACATCAAGCAGCCACACTGATTCTAAGTTGAAGTCAGAGAGAAAATCCAGAGCACAAATTCTTCTTTTGGCAATGACATCACTTAGGAACCTACATCCAAAATAACAGTTTCAACAGGTCAAAGACATTGGTCACCTTAACTAGACACTGAACTTTGCTCTGTAAAAATAATGACAAACAGGACCATGAACTTCCAACTGCAATTATTTTCACTGATCTTGTTTTGATTGTTGCTGAGTTGTTAGTTCAGGTAGGAGGAAGCCAGGGAACTTGCCCCAGGCCACAGGGAAATGGCTGAGAGAGGTGCTAATAAAATTGTAATTCAGTTTTCTTGAGATAGATAATGAAAGTACCTGATTATACTAAATAATGTAGTATTTACTGGATCATGTAAATCCAGCAAAAATTGTGAAGGGAAAACCACCCCCACTTAGTAACCTAATTTCATCCCCACCCCAACAGCATGGGTATACCCTTCTGATGCATTCTTATCTTGGATTGTAAAAAAAAAAAAAAAACAGTCACTGTACCTTCAAAGAGTGAGAAATGGGCCCATTAGTCCCCAGGACCTGCACAGAATCTCTCTGATCCATAGACCCTTTAAACCTAAAGTCACAATGACACATATTCATATTTCTTTTTTTACGCCAACAGCATATTCTGTACCGTCTCATTTTTACTTCCCTTGGAAAACTTGCATAACTTTACTCATCTTGGAGATTTTTCTCTATCAGGAAATACAGAACTACCTCATTCTTGTGTACAGCTGCCTAGTTTTTAGGGACTAGGGGCCAGAGAGATTCTGTGCAGGTCCTGGGGACTGGTGGGCCCATTTCTCACTCTTTGAAGGTACAGTGACTTTTTTTTCTGCAACCCAAGAGAATATCCAAGAAAGGAATTTTCATTAAAGAGGACACTTGGTAATCAACTCCTGATAAAAATTTGATCTGAGCCAGAAAATCAGAGGAAGCCTGGGGTCTGGGCTGAATTCTGCAGCCCCTGCCCCTCTCTTAATGGGCTCTGAGGCCCTCTCCTCTTCCAAAGCTCCCTTAACAAAGTGGGTCTCTGGTCTCGGTGAGATTAGGGAGCCTGGCATCAGCCATGGGGGTCTGTCCTTTTCCTTTTGTCTTTCCAGGTAATGTTGGGATCCCCACAGTTAGGTGGGCTGTGGGAGTCTGGGGCATCCACCAGGGCTGGCAGGAGACCTGGCTTCTAATTGGGACCTCCCTTGCTGTCCCTGGGCCTTGGTTTCCCCATTTGAAAACTGGCACTGCACTGGCCGTGCCCAGCTGATCTCTCCTATCCCCGGTTGCCCCTTGAATAAAACAGCAAGCATCACGCTCCACCTGGCTGGGCGCTCGTGGTTCGAATTGCACTTTGGCTCCAAGTCGGAATCATAACAGCAGGACAAACACAGTCGGAAACAGGGACCGTTTACCCACCCTCCACCCACGGTTTGCGCAGGGCCGTGGGCGCACAAGCAAAACAAACTTATTTTGAACACGCGGCCGTGAGCGCGTAGCGCTGCCAATCATTAACCCTGGTTCAAGTGGTGCGCGAGGGCCCTTCTTAAGGCGCTACCGGCAGCCAGCGAGCACCGGCCACCACACCATCGCCTCCGCTCTGAAAGCACCGGCCACCGCCACTCTCTGCGAACACAGGCCACCGCGCCACCGCCTCCTCTCTGAGAGCACCAGCCCCAGTCCGCTGCTGCCACCCCGGCTCCACGATGCCCGAGTTCCCCGCTGCCCGCGGCTGGCTCCTGCTCCTGCTGGCCGTCCAGCTCGGCGCGGCTGCTGGCGCTCCCCGGCCATGGCACTGTGCGCCCTGCTCCGCCGAGAGGCTTGCACTCTGCCCGCCGGTGCCCTCCTCGTGCCCGGAGCTTGCCCGGCCCGCCGGCTGCGGCTGCTGCCTGATGTGCGCCCTGCCACTGGGTGCCGCATGCGGTGTGGCCACTGCGCGCTGCTCTCGCGGGCTCAGCTGCCGCGCGCTACCCGGCGAGCCGCGGCCCTTGCATGCCCTTACCCGCGGCCAGGGTGCCTGCACGCCCGACGCCGACGCAGCGCCCAGCGCTGAGGACACAGGTACCACTGCGCCCCCTCCAGGCTCCCTCCCCTGGGACAGATGTATGGAGCTGGGGTGGACAAGGGCAGGACTCGACCAAAGCCAACAGCCAGTGGGGAGGAAACCCGCCCAGGTACAGAACTTCTAGCCAGTCTGTAAGGAAAAGGGTGTTAGGACACCACCATGTGCCCCATCTGGGCACTGTCCTGCAAGAGAGGTGAGGGACAAGGGAGGAGAGGTCACAGGCATCTGCACCTTGATGGGAGAATCTGGGAGAGAGCCCAGACCCAGCCTCAGCCCATCCATCTATAGACACCGAGACAGTGAGATAGGAGGGCGGCCATGGAGGTACCCCTTAGTGGGGATGGGCCCCAACCCCTCTTTCTGCTGGGAAGTGGGCAGCCCTGGTGCTGGAGCTTCCTGGAAGGCCTAGGGTGGGAGTCCCTGCTGCTGGCTTCCTGGGTAGTGTTTGGATTGCCCTTTGTAATACACACCCTGTGGAGACAGTTCTGTGCTTCTCAGATGTTTATAGAACATAATGCGAGAGTTTAGGCTGAAAACTTCACATGCATTCATTGCCTTAGAAAAACAGTGTTTGCTGTGTATGCTGCCTCTTAAGAACTTGGCATCCAGAACTTTCCTGGGTCTAGCAGAGATTCATTTGTAGTAAGAAGCAGAGGAAAGCCTCCTCCTCTACCTCCACCCTGTACTTCCCCATCGGGGTGTCTGCATGTGCAATGTGATCCTTGGAGCCATCCCATGATTCTCTGCCCTGATAGGAATCTCCTGGAGTCTGTGTGTGGCCCTTCCAAGGAGGGAACGGGATTTTCCTGCTGGTTCTCTGCCTTCGGAGATCCATTTCAGAGAAATGGGGTCAGGTCGAGGTCCTCAAAGGGGATGGGTTTCCCTCACGAGGCCCTCTGAGAGCCAGTCCTCTGTTCTGCCCCTGCACCAAGTCCAAACCCTAGGACTATCTGCAGGATACCTGGTGACACCCCCTGCTCCTCTTCTGGGGCTTGCCAAGAAGTCATTTAGTCTGTGGGAAGGCAGAGTTGCTGGCTGGAGCAGAAAGGGGTGGACATGAGAGCCGGGAGAGCCACAGCAGATCTGATTCTAAATGACCCTGCCACCTGGTCATGGGGAGTTACTACAATGCCCATTTCTTGGATGGGAAGCTGAGGATGGGGTCAGGGATTGAATGGCAGCTATGGCTTTTTCAGGCTCTTCTCAGGCCTCAGGATGGTGCATATAGCCACCGTCCTGCTACTTTAGAAACAGAAACCCAGGGCACCCAGACCCCAAGTTCCTACTTTTCCAGAACAGAATTGTGTTGCTGAGAGAGGTGAGGGACAAGGGAGGAGAGGTCACAGGCATCTGCACCTTGATGGGAGAATCTGGGAGAGAGCCCAGACCCAGCCTCAGCCCATCCATCTATAGACACCGAGACAGTGAGATAGGAGGGCGGCCATGGAGGTACCCCTTAGTGGGGATGGGCCCCAACCCCTCTTTCTGCTGGGAAGTGGGCAGCCCTGGTGCTGGAGCTTCCTGGAAGGCCTAGGGTGGGAGTCCCTGCTGCTGGCTTCCTGGGTAGTGTTTGGATTGCCCTTTGTAATACACACCCTGTGGAGACAGTTCTGTGCTTCTCAGATGTTTATAGAACATAATGCGAGAGTTTAGGCTGAAAACTTCACATGCATTCATTGCCTTAGAAAAACAGTGTTTGCTGTGTATGCTGCCTCTTAAGAACTTGGCATCCAGAACTTTCCTGGGTCTAGCAGAGATTCATTTGTAGTAAGAAGCAGAGGAAAGCCTCCTCCTCTACCTCCACCCTGTACTTCCCCATCGGGGTGTCTGCATGTGCAATGTGATCCTTGGAGCCATCCCATGATTCTCTGCCCTGATAGGAATCTCCTGGAGTCTGTGTGTGGCCCTTCCAAGGAGGGAACGGGATTTTCCTGCTGGTTCTCTGCCTTCGGAGATCCATTTCAGAGAAATGGGGTCAGGTCGAGGTCCTCAAAGGGGATGGGTTTCCCTCACGAGGCCCTCTGAGAGCCAGTCCTCTGTTCTGCCCCTGCACCAAGTCCAAACCCTAGGACTATCTGCAGGATACCTGGTGACACCCCCTGCTCCTCTTCTGGGGCTTGCCAAGAAGTCATTTAGTCTGTGGGAAGGCAGAGTTGCTGGCTGGAGCAGAAAGGGGTGGACATGAGAGCCGGGAGAGCCACAGCAGATCTGATTCTAAATGACCCTGCCACCTGGTCATGGGGAGTTACTACAATGCCCATTTCTTGGATGGGAAGCTGAGGATGGGGTCAGGGATTGAACGGCAGCTATGGCTTTTTCAGGCTCTTCTCAGGCCTCAGGATGGTGCATATAGCCACCGTCCTGCTACTTTAGAAACAGAAACCCAGGGCACCCAGACCCCAAGTTCCTACTTTTCCAGAACAGAATTGTGTTGCTGCTGGGGCTATCATCCTTCCTGGGGAACTCTCAGAAGCTCCTTTAAAGAGGGAGTCAGCAGAACTCGGGGTTGCCACGTCATTGTTATGCCCCAGCAAGGATTTCTGGGGAGGGAAGCAGACTGGGGGGCAAGTACAGACCTTTGAGAGGGCTCATGGGTGTGTGGCTATTTTTTTCAGACTCAAAGGGTCCCTTGGCCCCGGAGAACATGTCCCCAGAGAGCACAGAGATAACCCAGGAACAGCTCCTGGACAGCTTCCATCTCATGTTCCCGACAGGAGAGGACCTGCCCATTCTCTGGAACGCCGTCAGTAACTACGAGAGCATGAGGGCTCAGGAGATCACCGGCATCAAGAAGCGGAAGGTGAGACCCTGCGGCGGCCGGGGAGCCACGGATGGGAACCTGCAGTGCCGCACGGGCATGGGGGGTTTCTCTCTGGCCCTAGAGCCCTGGGAATAAGTACTTTCCTTCCTGGAACCTAACAGAGATTTCCCAGTGTAGCTTTTTGGAACTTTTAACAGTCTTTGAGCAGAGGACCCGCTGGATGGAAAGAACTCAATTCCTGCTGTGCAGCTTCAGTTACATTACTTCACATCTCTGATCTCTGCTCTAAATTAAGGGGGTCAGACCAGACAGCATCTTGAGAGCACTGAGTTATTCTATCTAAAGCTGAGCAAAAGGACCTCATGTCCCCCTTTCACAAATTGTGGCAAAATGTATATAATATCAAATTGATCTCCTTAACCATTTTAAAGTATGAAGGTGGGTGGCATGAAGAACTTTCATGTTACTTTGTAACCAGCCCCACTGTACACCTGGAGAACTCTATTACCTTCTCAAACTGTCCCCATTGAACACTAACTCCCTGACATCTCTTAATTCAGTTCTGATTGTAATTCTGCCACTTGAGGGCGACAAAGAATCAAAGTTGGGTGACTGGGGCTTGTTTGTAGGAAAAAAACTCACTTCCACAAATAG